GCGGGGAGCTGCCCGCAGGCTGGTGGGGTCCCGCTCCCACCGAGCTGTGAGCTGAAGGCTGCCGAGGTCTGCCTCGGGCTCCAAAGACCCTCAGCTGCAGCCCGGGGCTGGGAGGGGGTGCGAGGCCTCCCGGGGGGTCCCGCACCGAACCCACTGGAGGGCGGGCAACAGTGAGGAGTGCCAACCGACTCACCCAGCCCGGGAGGCGATCGGAGGTCCCAGGCCTGTGCGGCATGGAGAAAAGGGGCTGGCGGGGTGCCCGGTGGGGGCATTTAGAGGAAGTGAGCAGTGAGCCAGTGGATCCGAGTCTGGTGCGCTGTTGCGTCAGTTTGGATTCGATTATCAGCACTTACTTTGCCTTTTTTTTTTAAATCAACACCATAAAGAATTGCATTTGTTTAAGCAACCATTAAGAGAAAGGGGTGGTGGGGAGCAGGATTTTCCTTGTAAGTGGAGAGAATTGTCTTTGTGGACACAGCTTGACACCATTGCACACCATTGTTCTCGACTCAAGCCCCACCTTGGAAGAAAAGGTTGCTGTGTTGTTTAGCTATTTTTGTTTCCACCTTCGGGGAACACGCAGGGCCCAGCCTGGAACACCCATTCCTGGCAAAGCTGGTTAGTGCGTGGCCAGTTTCAGAAAGTGGAGCTGACGAGCATGCTTGTCTGCCACCAGTGGTTATGTCGCCAGAGGTATGAACATGGGTTGCTTTTGAAGCATCCAGTCAGATAGGCCATATAGGCACTTGTATTCTGTAAGAAAGGTCACTCAGGGAAGGGAAGAGGATTAGGAGGCAGGAGGGTCTGGGAAGCACACTGGTAAGGAAAGAGCATTGTGCTGAAGAACACAAGACCATTTAAAAAACCACTTCCTCTCTGTGCATATTTTACCTCATCTCGGGAACTGGAATGCAGACGGAACTCCCAACCACCACGGCGCAATTTACTCCATCACTTGAACGCACTGAGTGGTTACAAAGGGTTCAATGTGCGTGGCTGCTCACCACAGGCTGCAGGTTGTAATCTAGCAAACGTGCAGCTAAGAATCGCCTCCTGAAACATCAGCCAGTGAAAACGAGAGCTCTAGAGCACAATTCTACAGACACACCGGTTGCTATCAACTGGAACCACAGTAACTTACCCTCCACCTCCTCAAAGCCTACACTCTGAGTTTTTGCATAGCAGTTGTCCCTAATTCTCCAATCTCTGAATTTTGGGATAGCATAGATTTCTAGGGGTAGTGCTCTAGGGCATCTTTGGGCTAGCATTGATTTCTAGGGGAAGTGAGTTTCTCTTCCAGGTTGGTAACACCCTATTTAGCAATACAACCTTCTGTACTTGTCTCTCTGCCCCCGCATTCTTTATCTCACCCCAAGCAATGGAGAACATTTATGTGAATTAAGAGTGTTCCTTTTTCAGTGTTCAAAAAGTTCCTCAAAATAGAATTTTCCTATATATTCACCTCTAATTTCCTTTGAATAGGTGCCTGTGAGCAGGTTTGTCCCTAACTTGTGTGGCACCAGACAGAGAAGGCTACAATGGGAGGTCCCCCTTTCTGTTCCTAATCCTCACCCTTGATTCCGTCTTGTTCTGTGAGGAAACTTGCATCAACGTGGACAACCCAGTTCGTTGTGACCACACGCTGTACATCCCTTTCTGGGGTCTTGGGATATGCAGGTCCATGTGTGCAGTTGACTCCTATGTAAGTACACTTGAGGAAGCTATCCTTCCTTCCATGATCCCAAATACCTGGAAGGTGGTCTAGAATGGAGGGGGCACGAGCTCAACATGAGTTAGGCCTGTTGGCCCCCAGAACTCTTGACGTATGGGGAGATGTATGCCAATCCAAAGATCACAGTGGGGTCCTATAAGTCTCAGCGTGGGACAAGGATGATACTTAGGCCTAGGATGGTACTATCTGATGATGGTTCTCTCCCCTACTCTCCTGTGTTGTCTCACTGGATTTGCTGCCAAACATTCAATTTACCAAAACCAAAATTGTTGCTGTGGAAGAAAGGCCTGCTGACCTGCTCCCATAAAGATTACAACCAGGAGACTGTATGGAACAGGCCTGCTCTGTAGCACAGGGGTCACCCGAAGCGGACGTCCACTCGATGGCAACAGGTGACCTTTTTTTAGGATCCTGAACCATTTCCTATCATTGAGCCAAAGAGTTGTTTCTAATTTTCTGGTTCCTGTGTGTGGTGCCATTATATTTCAGAGAATGTGACTTAAATCTCCAAATTGCAATTCTAAATTTAATAGTTTGCATTTATGTGTCCACCACCTCTAAGGACTAGTGGAGGCAAGTTCCTCTCTGTGGTCATTTTCCAAGAGAAAGCAAAGATAAACATGAAGGAGGAGGGCTGCTTAGGGGGCAAAGCTAACTTTAATTCCCGATTCATATGTCTGTTTTGTTGTCGTTGCTATTTTGACCGTTGTGTTAGGCTGGGTTTCTAGAGAAACAAAACCAGAGACCCTCATATATGTATAAGAAAGAGCTTTGTACCAAGAAGGCATCCCAGCCCAGTCCAGCTCAAGTCCGTAAGTCTGATGCAAGCTGGGCCCTCTCCAGACTCATGTGGCTGCAGGCTAATGATGCAAAAAGGTGAAGCAGGGTGCAGGAAGATCACAGGCCAGTGGGTGCAGAGTTACATGGTTCCAAGGTTGGAGGAAACATGATAGGGTGCCGGTAGCTCTCGGGGTCTGGCAGCCCACATGGGGTCAGTCCTGGAGGCAGGCAGAGTCCCAGCAAGCAAGAAGGCAAAGGGGCAGAGAGAGAGACAGAGTTCCGAGTGTCTCTCACTCTTATACAAAAAGGCTTATGACACCAAAGAGGTGTCATCAAGCTGAAATCCAACTGATAGGTTGGGCTCACCCCTACCCAGGAGTGTCTAGTTGACATGGTCCTGAGCCATTACAACCATGCAAATGATGAAGAGAAACTATTTTCATGATTCCAATGCATGTACACCTACATTTCCCCTCCCAAATGAAGCTTCAAAAATACTGCCTGGGCCCTGTGACGATACCATTTCATTGCAAACTCAAGTTACTTTATGGAATAAAAGAGAGAGCAGCAATTTATTGGAGGGAAGCAGTGCTAGCAGTACACAGAGAAAGTGATGGGCAACACTGGGGACAGGTGGACCTCTGCCCAAATGAGGAGGGTAGGGGACATGGACCGTAAAATTTCTGGACTAGCTTATAGTTGAAGGGGCAGATTTAAAAACAAACAAGCAAGCAATCAAACAAAAATAACCCATCTTTTAAATTTTAGAACATATTTAGATTTACAGAAAAGAAGTGAAGAGAACAAAGGGAATTCTTCTGTAGTCTCACCCAGTTTCCTCCATTATTAACCTTTTACATTAGTATGGTCTGCCACCTATCTGTCAGTTTGTCACACTGTGGTGTCTTGTGGGTTACAATGATCCTGGGTGCTATGCCACTGGTATTTTACATACCAGCAGAGCCACTCCTGGTGGACAGGTTCCCGTAGATCGTCCAGAAGGCCTGGAAGTAGAAAGTAGAAAGGCCTGGTGATTTACTTCGGAAATTGGCCAATGGAAACCTGATACGAGGGTGGGGCACGTGGTAAATTAATTGGCTATTTCCTTTTACTTCCCCTGAAACTAGCCCACTGAACCATGACTGAAAACAAGTACAATTGAGTTCTCAGAACGCTGGACAGCAGTTAAGGTGTTGGAGAGCACGGGGAGGGTCCAGAACTCGGGGAGAGAAGGAATTGCAACAGGCAGAAGTGGGAACAGCCCACTCACTCACATCTAGAACCGGGATTGGTCAACTTCTGAGATAGAAGAGCCATTCCTGTCCCTCACAACAATTTTAAAATTATTGGAAAGAAGTAAATATATTTTTACAAACGAATGAAATCACCATTATCTGAAAACAACAACCAAAAAAACAAACAAATGCATAACCAATGAAGCAGTAAAGTCAAAAATAAGAAACACACCTGAAAACAGGTGTGTGTGCCCTGAAGCAGAGAGCAGGTCCCGCCCTGTGGGGGGTAAGAGACCTGCCCCTTTGGTGCTCCTGGGCTTGAGAACTGACAGCACAGGGCGCGAAGTTCCTCCAGGGAAACAAAAGATTCCTATGCTGAATTTTCAGAATGTTTCTCAGAAAGTGTGGCAGTTGGCAGTTCCTTGATAATTGTTGAATGTGGATGGTGGACAGACACATGGGGATTCACAATCCTGTTTTTGTGTAGCTTGATCTTTTTTCACAATAAATATTGAGAAAAAGAAAAAAAAGAAATCACCATTATTTGAATAATATCCTGTAGTTTTTTTCAACTTTACTTCAGAGTCACATGTGCACACCGAAAGAGCCCCACGTGGCCCCTGCGTCGCAGTGTGCCCCCTCCAGATCCGGAGCACTTGTTCATCAAAACCACTTTGGGAGGGGGCTGGGTAACACCCCAACCTCGGACACAGAAAGGGAGCTAATCAGAGGAAGCGGTAGCATGGTTTGTCTTTTTCTTAAAGTGGGAGAAACTATAAGGTCAGCAGACAGAGGGCACCCCCTCGCTGCCCCCCCCCCACACACACACACAATGCTTGCTCCCTGCT